TATATTATATATATATTACATATATATATTATATATATTACATATATATATTATATATATATATTATATATATATTATATATATTTATATATATATATTATATATATATATTATATATATATTATATATATATTATATATATATTTATATATTATATATATATATTTATATATTATATATATATATAAAGCAATCTATGTGTTCGAAATACACCAAGTCAATCTAAAAAAAAAAAATTTCAGTTGTTTTTTTTATACATGAATGATAAAGTTGCCTATTGGGACTTGGCGGGACACGGGGTAGGTGAAGTAGAGTTCACCTGTTTCTGTCTTCTTAGCATATGAAGGGATTGTGTGATCAGGTCTATGCTCTGCCGAAATAGGTGTTTTTAAAAGACAAAAACAACATAACTACCATTGAACAGCAGGGTTTTTAACTAAATCTTTTAAGTCTCTTAATTTTAAGTCTCTTAATCAGCCAGTACATTTAATATGGTATAGTGTTGACTAATACTATATAGAATTTGGTTTTAATTTTTCAATTAGGTATTAGTAGTCTATGTTTTTTTAAACAAGTATAAATATACACAGTAAATAAAACAAAACCCCTTCTTTTTTATAATCTTAACAATGTTTCATTCCATCGCTCTTGATCAATAAAATGTTTCTTTTCTTAAGTTTTTGATTATGACTTTTTAAAAGCTGAATTACAATTTTGCACGGGTGGTCCCCGGTAGGATGCGATTGGGCGCCCTGGTCATTCCCGTGAGCTCTATGGAGACTACGTTAGGTCTAAACAGTGTGATAGACAATGGATAAGATGGGGTGTTATAGTCGCTCACTAAATGGAATCAGGCAAGTCCGCCAGCGCCCTTGGTAGGGTGCGATATGGCTGCAAACAAAAATTTCAATTTCACCCCCCAAAGGCTGACATGGGCCGCTGAGGGCCCTGTAATACATTTTATTTTAATAATCAGAAAAATTAACCAAGGTTAGATTATCAACTGAGATGTTTCTTTTTGTCTGTAAAAATATCCAAACTGTATTGTCACTTTGGGAATGATGCAATTATCATCTATTTTTAGACGATCCAATCAGAAATTGAGATTGAGCATCTAATAATAGACCATTAGTAATGCTTACATATTGCATCAGTCACACTGATGTTTAAACACGTCAAATAATTTTTTTTACGTGTTAAAGAAAAAAATCCTGTTCATTTGTGTCACTTTAGCGAATGAAGCAATCTGCATCATTGTTAACAGGATGCTATTTGGCGCCTATGTTAGTTTTAAGTAGCTAGGGGCAGTGCGCTGCGCCTCTGTGGAAGTGTTATTGGGGGCTCCGGAGAGCGCCCTTCTACGTCCTTGACACATGGGTGGTCACTGAACTGTGTTCTACTGCATTATTTCGCTAAGTGATTTACATTAAGGTTTTTTAAAGGTTTTACATTAAGGTTTTTTAGGTTTTCATGCGGTAATGTAGGTAAACCCGTGTCCCCATAATTAAGATACAAGTGCATGAATTGTTTACAATTAAATAACTCAGTTTTAGAAAACAAGGTCACACGTCTAAGAACATAGGATTGGTAACACATTGATGAAACCCTTCTTATATATTTTGTCAAGAGTAGTGGATCTTTAAAAACTGGGAATTTGGTAAATTGTAGCTTTTGGCACCCGATTGCCGACCCCTGGCCTAGATATTAAACCTAGAATTGAGTCTCTCCTATAGACCAGCCATCTTTATTTTAAAGCGAAGCCCTTGCCCTTGCCCAAGATTCAAAGTTGAATTTGGTTTCTTATACACTGTCCTTATACAAGTAGATGTACCTCAAAGTAAAATGGTTTTTCTGCTATCTCATTGTTTTGTTCTATCTTATGTTGAATGTAGAGCATTGTCCAAACACTGAATGCAAATTTAGATAAAACATAAACGGTAATGAAAAATTAAAACTTACTGTGTCTTGCTTCTTACATTTAAATGTCCAACTACCACCTTCACTATTTTCCTCATCTTCCCTAAAATAAAATAAATATTCAAATTACTTAATAAAAAGAAAAGTGGCAGAAAATATGGTTTACTTTGCGATAAAAATGTTTTGTAATTAAATTGTAAGTAATGTTACCCTTTCAGACCTAATGATCTACAGGATGGTGTGGTCAGCACTATGCCCAGCGACCTGCAGACTCAAGTCCCAAACAGTATCTAAACTTTTTTTTTTGCAGACTCAAGTCCCAAACAGTATCTAAACTTGTGTTTAAAGCAGTTGAGCACTCTACCAGCTGATTATGCTGAACTAATGTTGTTGTAGTAGCTTAACAAAATTTTTGAGCGAAAAACAGGAAAATAATTGTTTAAGAAAAAAAGCAATCAGGAGCATGTGTCTTTAATTTTTCAACAGCTTTTCAATTTCTTTGCATAAGTTATGTACAAAATTACAACAACAAAAAATTATTCTAACAGGAACAAGTAATCAGTGTGGTAGCTCACATAGAATATCTTACACTTACCAAACAGGTCTGCGTTGTGATCTCATAAGATGATAACTATATCGAATATTTAATTTTGATGGTTCAGGGATATGGTTGTATACACTCCAGAAACCCTTTAAATAGTCAGAAACAATTATTATTACACTTTAATGATTGAGAAAAAAAAAGTATTTTCTCTAGTAAATAAGCAAACAAGGTGAGAGTACATACATTGGCTGACACCAGCTGGAGGCTGACGGGGCGTCTGATTAGATTCAGCCAAGGATTATTTATAGCAGTCCACCGTATCCATAGTGTATGGCACTCTTTAAAACAAATGTGGGTGTCTTAATGTTCACAAGGGAGCTCGGGGGGCAACGGGTCACCCGACCGAAAAGCGCAGAGGGATGCACCTGGTGCAATTTGATCATTGAATAAATACCCTTGACTCACTATGAGGACACCAAACAAATGGACCCAAGGTGCAAATAAAGCTGCTGGGAAAGTCTGGATGCCAAATTGCAACAATCTGTGACCCCACCCCTACAAAATTTAAATTACATTTTTTCTCGAAGGAACCTTCACATGATTATTTTCATCAACTCCCCAAAGTTTTATGGCAATTGAATGTAAGAATAGTAATTCATAAAAGTCAGACTAACCCACACACAGATTTATCTGTTTGATTTATCCATAGGATACTTTACCCCACTGTATCCACAATGCATGGCGCTCTTTTAAATCAACGTATGAGCGATAGTGCTCATGGGCGTCAAATCGTTCCCTGTCTGGGCACAGCCCCAAACAAATTTTGAACTATTTTTCGCAGAAACTTTCCCATGAGTACTCTCATTAGTTCCCCAAAGTATGATGGCACTCGCATGAATGTTGTCAAACAACTTCCGATTTGTATTTTTTATACACAAATAAAGAGAAAAATATCACCATGACCACGTCAGACACCACAAAACTCTTTTTGAAATTGTGTAGGGAAAGTCAAATTGAATATTATGCCAACTAGATAGGAATACTCAAGGAGTAAAAAAAAAAGTAGCAAGTGGGGGAGGTTGAAAATTGCATTGCAATAGTCTTTGGGGTCATGTTAAATATTGATAGGCAAAAAGTGTTGTTTTTTGTGTTTGTTAAAACATTAACTACTAACCTGAACTGTGTCCACTGTGTAAATTTTTGTTAATGATGATTCATATTGCTTAACAGTTGTACCACGAACAGATCTGTAAGGATGTAATGAGTGGTTTTATATTTTGTAAATTATGCTAAATCTATAGGCTATATAATTTTAAAAAACAAGACGAACCAGTTTCCAGTTAGGAAACCGTCTGTGGGCTGTATTGCACAACACAAAAAATTATCAATCATGCAGTCCTTTGACTCTAACTCACGCACAATCCTTTTCTGGACATTCATGCCCATGTTGGTTAGGAGGTGGGGGAAATCATAGTTAAGTAGAGTTTTGTGGACATTTGCAAACTTGGGAGTAGGGGTGGTAAGGTTGCCTTATTGGTTATATTACACATATACATGGATATATTTTTATACTAAAATCAATTATGCCATTAGTGTTGTGTGCTTTCCATAGTTTAAACTTTTTATTAACATTGTTTCATGTAGATATTTTTTTTGTTTCATATGACTTCATTAACTTTGCCAATGATTGTGTTCTTGTCATAACCATATACATTTCAACAATAGTCAGTATCTTTAAGTTCTCTATATAGAAAATATGTGACGGACAGAGATGGAGGGACAGAGGGAGGGAGGAGGAGGGGGAGAGAGAGAGAGAGAGAGATACATATATATATACATACATATACATACATACATGTACATATATATATATATACATATATATATACATATATATCTATATATATCTATATACATATATATCTATATATATCTATATATATCTATATATATCTATATACATATATATATATATATCTATATACATATATATCTATATATATATCTATATATATCTATATATATCTATATACATATATATCTATATATATATCTATATATATATCTATATATATATATCTATATATATATATCTATATATATATATATCTATATATATATATCTATATATATATATCATTATATATCTATCTATATATATATATATATATATATATATATATATCTATATATATCTATATATATCTATATATATCTATATATATCTATATATATATATCTATATATATATATCTATATATATATATATATATATATATATATATATATATATATATGTGTGTATATATATATGTGTATATATATGTGTATATATATATGTGTATATATATATATATGTGTATATATATATATATGTGTATATATATATATATGTGTATATATATATGTGTATATATATATGTGTATATATATATGTATATATATATGTATATATATATATATGTATATATATATATGTATATATATATATATATATATATATATATATATATATATATATATATATATATATATATATATCTATATATATATATATATATATATATATATATATGTATATATATATGTATATATATATGTATATATATATGTATATGTATATATATACATGTATATATATATATATATATACATATATATATACATATACATATATATATATACATATATATATATACATATATATATACATATATATATATATACCTATATATATACCTATAGGCTATTTAAATAATGGCAAAAAGCATGCCCGCTCATTTCTAATGCAGATACGGATATCATAGCCTGTGAAAATATTTTGCGGAGAGAGAGAGAGAGAGAGAGAGAGAGAGAGAGAGAATTGTGCACATGGGCTTTTATATATTAGGATAGATAGATAGATGTATCTGCTATGGAAACGGTAATCTCGCGACATAATCATCCGATAATGAATGTTTGTTAAGTTTTGTTAACATACATTACTGTAAACAATATTTTAATTGACCGTTGAAAAAAAAATTAAGTCAAGTGCATTAAATTAATGTTTTAGCTTAATTTAAAGTTTAATTGGCCAAAAATTAGTAACAATTAGTAGATCTAAATATTATTAATAAAGTCGTGTGTAGTAGGCCTAATTAATTTTTTTTTAAGAAACACAGAAAGAAACTTGCAGAAGATTTGTGACAACTAGATTCTAGATCTAGTAAAGTAAGACGCTTAGAGTTACTAAACTCATAGTTAAAAGTAGTAAGAAGAACAAGAACAATGTTTAGTAGAAGCAATAATTAGAAAATACACTTAAAATAATTAGAAATACAAAATGATAAAGAAGGGCAGTAAGAGCCACACTTTTTAGCACCTGTACATTTTTAAAGATTTTTACTAATCCAAGTATTTTCTAATATTGAAATTAATGCAAAATTATTCCAACACATCATACACAATATAATAATAATAATAAAGGCTATTAAATTTACTTTAAATTGGTTTAATTTAGCATTTATAGCCATACCCTCAAAATCAGCGATTGTGGTAAATGTAGCTAGGCCATGGGGCATTAACCTATTGAACTCTGGCCTCCCTGGCCTAATTTCTCCCATTTCCTGAGCTCCCAGGGCCAAACCAATTTTCACTTATATGCTTCTAACTTTGCCTATAACTTTTGAACCATTTGAGATAATCAAACCACATTTGATATCCAGACTCAGGATCAAACAACAATACTGCAAGATTCTGAAATTCTTTATTTTTTTGCAATGTATGAACAGAACAATGTATATAAAACGAACAATTATCATAATTATTATCGACACGCCAAGTAGACTGAAGTTTTACAGCACCACGTGCATTAGAACGTACTTGAACAGTTTCATTGTCACTGTCAATTTCAATGTCACTGTGTTCAGTCTCAAATTCAACGTCACTATCATCACAATATAGACCAGGAATATTATCTTCTTCATCAGAATCAATAAGTAGTTGTATTGCCTGCGATGCAGTCATTCTACTTCTTTTGCTGATATTTTGGTCTTTTGATTCATCTTGATGTGCTGAAGTCGATGGCTGTGGCTCAGCTTTTTGTTTCGGCGGCATTGCTACGGAATGTAAACACTTTCACTTTTCCTAAAATCTATTTTTATAATCATAATCCCGCACTAAAAAGACGTATGCGCAGTTTTAGTCAGTCTTCCGCTAATTATATTTAATTAGACGGCTAGGAATATGACGCTAGATCATTGGGCCGGAAAACCGGCTTTTCGGACATATATGCCTAATGTTGAAGCCAGTTTACCAGCCTGGCGGGCTCAAAGGGTTAAGTATTATCTCCTAGCTTAGACTAACTCCACAATAAAAATAATTAATTTTTAACCCCAAAACAATGAATGCTGTGTACACACACTTTAAATGATACTAGCTATCACTATGTCCCTTTGGACCCAGTTCACAATTCATACAACGGTTCAAAGGCTGTCATTGTCGCAAAACGTAATTAACACACAATATGGTTGGACAAAGCCTGCTGAGGAGAAGCCAACCAATATAAGGCCTATGGCTAAAACATATGCAAACACAATGATGAGCCTAAATTTATTTTTTAATAATTTTCCCCGTGTATTTAACTAAATACGTAACAAATGTTGATGTTGCCATGTACATTATCTCACAGTATTTTATCTTGTTATTGTTAAAAACCATAATGCTTTTAAAGTTTTCAAATATGCTACCGAAAAAATTACCAAGCACATTAATAAACACCCAACATTTTATAATTATCAACAATTAAATCAATATATATTTTAGAATATTTTTGTGACTTTTCTATTGTGACTTTATTTCTGTGACTTTTTTTCCTAGCAAAAACTGTGACTTTTTTTTCTGTGTTTTTTTCCATTCACTGGTACTAACTAATCTGCCTTTATTTCCCCCTAATAAGCCACGTGAGCCATACATTACATAACATGACATGGAGGTGAGAAATGTTGAGGGGAGAGCTGTGATACTGATTTCCCCTTTATCTCCCTGCTGGACCCTGAGGGCCATACATTACATAAGAGATGCTATCTCTGGTTGGCTGAGATCTAAGAACACTAATCCATGTTAGCTAAAAAGAGATAAAGTTTATGGTGGGTTAGATACAGGTGGGGACTGGGTATCATGGAGGTGAGTAATTTTGAGTAGAGGGCAGTGGTACTCATTTCCCATTTGTTCTCCTTGCTGGACCCTGAGGGCCATAACATGCCACCCCAGAATAGCTGAGATCTAAGAACTGTAATCCATGTTACCTACAAAGAGATGGAGTTTTATAGTGGGCTAGAAACAGGTGGGGGCTTGGTGTGGAGGGGGAGCACTGTTATTAATGTGTCTGATCACTTCCTTGCTAAACCATGATGGTCACAAATTACATAACATACCACCCCAGATTGGCTGAGATCTAAGAACAGTTATCCCTATTACTTACTATTATTACTTACAAAGAGATTAGAAATGTTATGGTTGGTTAGAAACAGGTAGGGGGCTGAGTAGGTTGTATTGCCCGTGAACAGAAAATAAGTCACAGGAAAAAAAACACAGAAAAAAAGTCACAGTTTTTGCTAGGAAAAAGTCACAAAAAAAGTCACAAAGGAAAAAAAAATTCGGAAAAAAAGTCACAGAAAGAAAGTCACAGAAAAAAAGTCACAAAAATCTTTTAATAAATATTTTTATTTTTATTGTTGAGAATTGTAAAATTTTGGGTGTTGATTGATGTGGGTTATTGTTGTTTTAGCATTTTTATAAACGATAAAAGCATTGTGGCTTATAACAATAAGTAAAAATACTGTAACCTAATTTACACAGCAACCACAACTTTTGTAATGAATTTAGTTAAATACGCTCTAGAAATGTTTTAATTATAAACGAATTTTAGGCACATCATTGTGTTTTTCATGTTTAATTTAATGCCATTCCTTGGTCGGCTTCGCCTCAGTCGGCCTTGTCCGTCCATATTGTGTGTTGTTGACGATTTGCGTCAATGACAGCCTTTGTACCGTGTCGGGTTTCTGCTTTGATCCTTCCCTTTGTTTTGTAATGAGTGTGATAAATTTGGGTAGTACAGGTGGTTGACCTATTGTTGCAATGAGTTAAGGTCGGCAAGTCACATTAACTACGTCTTAATGCCTTTTCGCGCTAATTTAACAAATACTATGAAAAATGGAAGGTTGGAACATTTTATTAAATTCTATTAAATATTATATGTATAAAGTATAAAGGAATAAAATGTAAATAGTTCACACTAAATATTTGCGTGTGTTATAAATTTCACTATTCGCATACAACCTGCGAACATTTCCTTATATTTAATTAACCTAAGTTGATTTGCACTTTCTGAATATTTAATACATAAAAGTATTAACAAATTCCATGAAAATATATATTTGTGACTTTTTTCCTGTGTATTTTTCCTGTGACTTTTTTTCCTACAATTGTATTGCCCATAGGGGGTAATAAGTATGTGCACCATTTTAAAAATTACCTGGCTAACATCAGATGTCTGAATTTTTGCTTTTTAGAAGTTTAAAATTGTATTTCTATCATTTAGACACAAGTCCGTTTAACAATTAATACATTTTGTGTTAAATATTCCTATACCAGTGTCATATTCAGTGCTCTAATAAATGAGAAACTTGCACCATGGGAAACAAAAGCCACATAACAATATCTGTAATAACTTTTCTGAACATGCAAGCTAGTGGACAAAATTAATGTAGATTTAGTTATTATCTAAAAATTAAAACCATTATGATAGTGATCCGTCAAGTTTTACTCTGATAATGATAAAAACTTTACAGCATGGTAAAATCGGACAAATATTGGTCATTTTGTTTTGCCATCAACAATTACTGTGAAAAAAATTAAAACTATTCTAGCCATAGTTATAAAAATGGTATTAAAATGTACAGCAACCAATGCTTTAATATAGGAACAAAGAATGGTCTTAAAAAAACTCATTTGGTTTATAACAAAGTGAAGTTTCCTAAGTTATGTATGCAAGGGAAAAGAGTTCACAAAATGGTTTTATGGAGAAATTTTAGGGAAAAAGAAGTTTTATTTGGGGGGTTTTGTGGGGGTGGGGTGCTGATAAGGTCCTAATACCACACAGCTCTTAGTGCCCTGCTTTACCCTATCAAAACAGTACTTAAAAATGCAACTAAAATTAATCTATGCACAATTGTATTCATTTTGTATTAAAAATAATATGGCGCCAAATAAATGATGGTTTACAGTATTTGCGGTGGTTTCCGGAACGGTGTGATAGACTACGCCATGGTTTTACTGTTTTTTTACTACTGTACCATTCCGGAATAATAACCGACGCTATATCGTAATATTACCATGGAAACTTTCTTTCTCAAAGAGGAAACTTTTTAAAATTGAGTTTTTAACGTATTTGAAACTAACCTATATACAGGGGAAAGACCAAAGCAGAGACAGCAATAACATGTAATCAGATCGCAAAACCATCAAATCAAAGTGGAAAACCATTCTACTTTGTAATTAACATTAGGAAACTACCTTTTAAACTATTTAATTTACCATAAATTTAAAACTTATTAGTATGAAAAACCAAAATCTCGTGTGCCTGGTATTAGAAAGTAATGGGTAGACTAAACCGCAGCAATGACAAAAACCCATAAATATTTAGAAAAATCACTGAAATTCGATTTTATTAAAATCACTGGAAGGGGAATAGAGAATAAACAATGTGTATTGTGCAAAGTTGTTCTCAGTCATGAGTCTATGAAACCTTCAAAACTATAACGTCATTTTAAGATGAGTCATTCGGATGACACCAAAAAAGATACAGAGTTCTCTCGTTGGCATGAAGCTAGTTGCACACGTCAGAGCCTTGATAGAACAGGAAGTTTTCAACAAGAAAACACAGCATTAGATCACGCATCATATGATGTTGCATTCGAAATTGCCAAGCAAAAATAAACCCCACACAATAGGAGAAAATCTCATCAAACCCTGCACGTTGAAGATGGAGAAATTCATTCTTGGGGATTCTTGTACGGATGGTGTGTCATGTTTGGGTCAAAATCGGGCTTTCAGAAAAAAAGTAAAGATTTAGCTACCTAATGAAGGGGAATTCACTGCATCATTCCCCGATATGCCTCGCAAGCAATACTCCTCCGACTCCATTGCTAATAAAAGCCGTAAATTATTTTAATCTGGAGCCCTAAACACCCGTCTGTTTCAAGAACTGTGAAAAGATATGAATACAGATTATGAGGTTGTACACTACAGTACGCTGGCTGACAATAGGAAATGTGAATAGTATTTTTTAATTGAAAGATGAAATCCTGTTGTCCTTGGTAGTGCAAAGGAAACAAGACCTTTTGATATAATTAAACGACAAAGATTGTTTGGAGAGAGTATCATACCTAGCAGATATATTCCAACAGCAACATAAGTTTAACCTGCAAATGAACGAATATTATCTATTTTCATGATAATCTCTTGGCATTTTTATCAAAACTTCAAATTTGGCAAAGAAAAATACATATTGGAAATATTGGCATGTTTAAGAAATTCTGCAGTGTGATAGATGAATCTGATTGTGAGATAAATAAAAATTTGAAAGAGGATTCTGTGCATCTTGAATCTCTTGAAAACTAACTGCTGCATTATTTTCCCTGAGCTGAAAGAAGAAGAATCTGCATTGTCACATGGCCCATTCCCCTTGATGTTGCCAGCATTCCCGATGAATTACAAGAAGAATTCTTAAATTTGCGGAATGGTTTTGCGTTACGAGTCGTGTTAAATGAAAAACTGCTCAAACAATTTTGGTGTAGTATGCACCATTCATACCCAAACGTGAAATAGATTGCCTTTTGAGTTTTAGTTCCTTTTATGTATACATATCTTTGCGATAACATATTTTCAACATTTCTCCAATTAAAAACAAAACAAAGAAATAACTTAATTACTGAGTATAACATGAGGTTGGCGTAACTCAACCGTGATTGTTTTTTGTTGAGGCTAGTGAATAACATGCACTTTCACCCATTGCATTAAAACAATTATCAAGAATCCATATATATAATTCTCTTCTGGGAGCCGCTAGAAAACAAGCTGCAAACGCGCTCCCTACCACCCCTACCCCTACATGGTCTGGTGAGCTGTGGTTCACTCTTTATGTTTACAAACATTACAAACACAGCCGAGTTAAGTGACAACTATTAGGGGCAGATAATTTAGTTTGAAATGATTTTAAACGTAGGGGGGGGGGGTAACTAAGTGGAGTTTACTTTAACGGAGGGGGGGGGGTTATCGTCCTTAACGAGCTACTTATAGTGTTTTAAAGAAATATTTTCAGTGGCAGCGTTGGTAGTGTCGAATTCACAAATTATGAATAACTGAAAAGTAAAAAAAACAACAACTAAATAGCGGCGTATGATATGCCGCTGGTCGGCTTGTAATTTATATTGAAAGTCTGCTAGAAAATCGTGTTAATTAATTTCCTAACTAATTTAAACTTTTTAATTCTAAGGGGGTTGCCACTCGAAAAAGTTTGGGAACAACTGCTCTAGAATCTAGATTGAGTCTAGATTCTATTTCTAGATCTAATCTAGAGATCTAGAATCTAGATCTTGATCTAAATCCAGTTAAAACGTGAAATTTACTAGCCTAAATATATTAAATAACATCCGTTAGATCTGTAGTTCTAGATCTAGAAATATTCTAGTCTAGGTCTAGAGGATCTAGTCTAGACCTCTACTAGCTTGAGCTAGAGTAGTAGATCTAGATCTAGAGTCTAGTCTAGGGTCACTCTAGGAGTCTAGATTTAGAATCTAGATAGAATCTAGATCTAGTAATTATTATTAGTAGATAGAAACTTGACTTAACTTCTTACCAGACCGCTTACCTGTCGATCCAAAATGTCCAAGGTGTATTTAATGGTTCTAAGGGTACATCTTTCGATTCTTTTGTAACTGCTTCATTTAATTTTATAGAATCAGTATTATCAATAATTTCCCTATCGCGAACCATTTCAATTTGAGAGCCTTCGACATCATTATTCACAAATCCCGTAGCCATTTTCTGTCTGACGAACCAGTATCTAAATAAGGAGTCACGTGATAAAAACATTTGACGTCAACTGTGTGTTTACTTTCAGATCTATGCCCTTTACTATTTATTACTATTTATTTTAAACTAGCCGTCGGTACCCGTTACCAGTGTTTCTTCCAGACTTTTTCTCCGGGGGTGGGGGGGGGGGGGGGGGGGGCATTTGAAATTTTCGGGGGGCGGTCAACATTTTTCGGGGGGGGGGGGGGGGGGGGACACTAGTAAAAGTGTATGTTTACTATATAAAATCCATCCCGTTCGGAGGGGCGGTAGACTTTCTTCGGGGTGGCTCCGCCCCCCCCCCCCCCCCACACGAAGAGATGCCTGGAAGAAACTCTGCCCGTTACACGTACACGAGAATTATAGGCTTGGGGCGGAACTACAGTGCCGCCAGACCCCGCAATGCGGGGGGCCCAGGCAGTTTAGGGGCCCACGGCTGACCATAATTAATATTTTTTAAAAAAAATTGAATTTAATTTTCGTGCATTTTTGCCTTGATATTTGGTTTGTAACAGAAAAACACTGTAGCTGCGGTACGATTATCTTTATTTTACAGTCACTACCACGCTCTTCCGCAAAAAAATAAAATCCATTACACAAACTACAGTGTAAAATATAGACAACTCTTCAAATTTGAATGACTTCTTTGATTCGTTGCCCCCCTTTGATAGTTAAATAGAGGACACGTAACTGTTTGACCGATCCTCTAAAGTGTACACGGTTAGTAACGTTTTGATGAAAGCCTCATGCAAATGGGCGTCAGTTTGGTGTGTTGGACTAAGAGATTCCGTGTTTCTCACTTCAAAAACTGAATGGGGCCAGCTCGTGTGTTGGTAAACCTCTGATTCATTCGTGTACCAGATGGAATTTTTTTTTTTTTAATTTTAGAGCGACCCTTGTTTTCCATATATATATATATATATATATATATATATATATATATATATATATATATATATATATATATATATATATATATATATATATATAGAGATATATATATATATATATATATATATATATATATATATATATATATATATATATATATACTAGCCGTCCTGGCCAGGCCCTGCACTGGCATCTCTGAAAAACGTATCTGTAAAGGACCATAACTTGTGTGTTTAGTAATCAGCATTTATCCGGCATTGCCCACCCTAACCACAACCAACCAAAACACACAAAAAAACGCAAATACAACACTAACACAAAACAAACACAAACGAAAACACAAAAACAAACGCAAAGACAAACCAAACCACAAACACAAAGAAAACACAAACACTAACGCAAACAAAAAAGCAAACGAAAACAAATCCAAACGCAAACACAAACCCAACCACAACCAAACAAAACCAAAACACACAAAAAAAAACGCAAACATAACACAAACGCAAATACAAACACAAACGAAAACACAAAAACAAACACAATCACAAACACAAAGAAAACACAAACGCAAAGAAAAAAAAGCAAACGAAAATACAAACTCAAAGAAAAAAAGCAAACGAAAATAAACCCAAACCCAAACACAACCACAAACGCAAACCTAAACTCAAACACAAAGAAAACACAAACGCAAATTGTCCACAGTAACGAATATACACACAGGTCCCCACACACAGATCCCCTTGACTTGTTCAATACGTCCCGACACACAGATCCCCTTGTAATCTAGCTCTCAACAAAGTTTTGAAGGTATCTTACCACGATGCAGGATTAAACGCTTATGGGCAATTTGACGAATCGACGAGTTTTTAACTTCGTCTTGCCGACGTCATGTTTTAAACGGTTCACGGTAAGGTGACGTCGATATCACATACACAGCTGACTGGAGGTGTACAATTGCTGATCACAACACTTGAAATGTCCGTTATTGAATTTTCCGTTGCAACGATAGAGGTACGTTCTACCATAGAACTGTCCGTCGAATGAGCCTGTGCTTTCACGATTTATTTCCGAGAAGTAGTAACAGCACAGTTCTTTCCAGTACGGGACTTCAGCATATGATTCTTTTTCTCAAGTCGGCTTTTCACAGACAAACACGAGTCTTCATAGCACAGACTGTCGTTTCGCATGCTCCACCATATTACGCTTAGTGAGAGGGTTTCACTTGATTCGATTCCATACCACTATATTACGTTGCACTACCATGTACCACAGACAGGCTTCATACACTTGCTCACCGAGACAATACAAGTGACGACCAATCAATGAGATGAACGCAGATTTCTTGTTCTTAGATTTATTATCATACTTGACTCATGTACATCTTTTCGCCACGACTATCAAGAGAAGACTGCCTCACACACACACTCCCCAGCAACCAGTCTCTACACAAAATTGTCACTGTCGCACTATCCGCGTCATCATTCCATGCGTTCAACATACCTTTCGCACCAACATTCACTCGCACCGATCTACACTTAGAACATGCATCATAACAGATATATTAACTATGGCGATCAAGTCGAGTTTTTTGCTATATTAATTTCTTACCACATGTAATTCCGCCCGTCCGCCAAATACAGAATTAAACTTTATGTAACACATATGGTTACCAGCCAAGGGTGTTAAGTAATAAAGATGTAATTCATTGGGTTGCGGCCCATGTGGGACCGCAACTGTTGATATAGTTTTTTTTTTTTTTTTTTTTTTTTTTTTTTTTTTTCATGCTCTTCTGTGAGCGATTTTATCTGTGTCATGTGACATGGGATTTGTCATGTGACATGGGATTATGGGTAGTTTCGTGCCTGTAGCCATGTCAGAGACCCAAGGCTGCTGTGGACACGGAGGGTGACGTTGTCTTAGGTAGAGAATGTACACCTAATGAAGGTAATATTATGTTTTATATTACTGTACTACTCCTACTAGTGCTGCGTGTTGCAGACTAGGGGTGGAGTATCTTCGTTAGATTACTTTTCTGTATTATTCCTGCTAGTGCCGCATGTTGCGCACTAGTTAGGTGTTAAATATTTATTTAAGTAGTTATTATTGTGCTACTTATTGCTACTTATTGGCAGTAACATATTTTATTGCACCCGTGTATTTTTGTAGCCAACACGTGGTATTACCAGTGATGTAACCTTTTGTTTACATTTGTTTTAGGGCTACAATTCATTATTCATCATTAATCGTCGTCGTCATCGTCGTCTTCTTTGGTTTTTGTTTTGCTGGGATCTACTGTTTTCTACTGTTGCTCTACGTCGCCGTTTATGGCTCGATGTAAAATTTGATGATAGTTAGCTGACAAATGAAACAAAAAGCAATAAGGTTCCAGGAGAGGACAGAATCACTGCGGAGATGCTAAAGGCAGACCCAAAAATAGGTGCAGAAACTCTATCAGGGATCTTCAATAAAGTATGGAATGAAGAAAAAGTCCCAGATTCTTGGAAACGGGGAATCATTATCAAATTACACAAAAAAGGGCGACCTTAATGTTTGTGAGAACTGGAGAGGCATTAATCTTCTGTCAGTACCAGGAAAAGTCTTCTGCAGAGTCCTATTACAAAGAATGAGGAAAGGAATTGATGGGATCCTTCGTAAAGAACAAGCTGGCTTCAGGGCCAACAGGTCATGTAACGACCAAATATTTGTCTTGCGCACTATAGTGGAACAGTCCCTGGAGTGGAATTCGTCTCTCTACATCAACTACATAGATTTCGAGAAAGCATTTGATAGCATCCACCATCCATCATTATGGAAGATACTAGAGCTATATGGCTTTTCAAGAAAAGTCATAAACATACTTAAGGACATGTACTATGATAACCAATGCTGTGTGCGACACGAAAATCAGCAAAGTGAATGGCTCAAGGTAAAAACAGGAGTCAGACAGGGCTGTGTCATCTCACCTGTCATCTTTTTGGTGGTAATAGACTGGATTATGAGAAGAGCCACTGAGGATAAGCCAAGAGGAATTGTTTGGGAACTTACCAACCACCTAGAGGACTGTGACTTTGCTGATGACTTGGCTTTACTTTCACATGCCCAAAAAGACATCCAAGCAAAAACCACAAGAATAGAGCAAATTGCCAAAAGCGTTGGGCTAAAGATAAACTCCGGAAAAACCAAGCTAATGAAAATAAAAACCAAAAGTGCTTTCAAGACCTTTGCGAATGGAGCAGAGCTAGAAGAAGTCGAAGACTTTAAGTACCTCGGCAGCTATATATCAGCAAATGGCAGCATGGAGAAAGAAATTGCCACCAGAATAGCAATGGCAGCAGAAGCTTTCAACAGACTCGCTAAGATCTGGAAATCATCCTCACTGCAGCAGAGAACTAAAATAAGGATCTATAAGTCAAATGTACGTTCTGTACTTCTCTATGCTGCAGAGTCATGGAAACTAAACAAGAAAGGAGAGAGCCGAAAGAAGATCCCTCCAACGTATCTTCAGGAAAAATATGGCGAAGGACAGGATTAAACGACATTGTCTCAGAAGTTCGAACGAGGAGATGGAGATGGCTGGGCCATGTCCTACGCATGAGCAAAAAAAGACTCCCCAACATGGCGCTAAAGTGGAACCCACCCGGAAAGAGAAATAGAGGAAGACCACTGGGAACATGGAGGAGGGAGATGGAAGAAGAAGTACAGGCTACTGGCAAAACCTGGCATGAACTAAAGTGGCTCGCCCAGGACAGGGTGGAATGGCGGAGATTTGTTGCTGCCCTATACTCCACAGGGAGTAATGAGGATTAAGGGGGCGCATCGATGAACTAAGCTTGAAAAATCATGGTTGACCTCGGAAAATTCATTTTTTTTTTAAATTTTCTATTACTTTAACCACTTATAAACATAATATACTTATCAAATTTACAATAAAATATAGTTTTTACACTTGTTTTTGCATTTGAAGTGGGTGTGTGTGTGTAAAAAAATGTATTTCACCCCGATATACGCCTATCACAACGATGTGTAGCGAGATCTACACACCGCAGTATGCCTAGCTTACCATATATCAAAATGCGCGGAATTTCGAGGTCAGTCTAGCTAGCCTAGGAACATCGACCTAG